TCGGTGCGGATCCATACTTGTATTCTTGGCAGTGTATTAGGGCTAGTACCCCTAGTCTCTGCGGTTGGTTGTCGGCATCTCGGTGCAGCTAGTTCCCGTACCATTTGCTATCAATTTTTGTATTCTCGGCAGTATATTAGGGTTAGTACCCCATAGTCTCTGCGGTTGGTTGTCGGTATCTCGGTGCGGCTAGTAACCGTACCATTTGCTATCCATTTTTGTTTTCGTTGCAGTGTATTAGGGCTAGCACCCCTAGTCTCTGCGGCTACTTTTTGGCATCTCGATGCGGCTAGTTACCGTACCATTTACTGTCCATTTCTGTTACTCTCAGCTAAATTCGTCTCCAGAAAGACTTCTCGGACCCAGCAGTAACAGAGATGCGTCCAAAATCTTCTTTACTTACTGAATTTTCCCCTCCCAAACTCCGCCGTGACGTCAGCCTTGGGAGGGGATTGAATTGCCACTGACAGCCGTGGATTTGAGCTTCTGTTTCTAAGTCGTTCAGAGACACGTTTGCGTTTTACTGGTTGAAGTTGCCGCTGAAATTTGTGCCCGAATCCCGCAACGTTAGGAGATTACACCTAACGCGACATTCTCGCCTACGGAAAAAGACGTTGGATACGAATCAAGAATCTCGCTAAGCAATTCTGAACCAGATGGCGCAGAGAATACAACCAAAAATCTTCAGCCACAAGAAAGTGGCTGCATCAGAAGACCTCCCTGAAAACTGGAGACGTCGTTCTGGTGAGAAATTTAGCGACGAAGAGAAATCACTGGCTAATTGGCCGGGTGATGCATGGGAGCCGAAGCACAGCGCCGACGCTCGGGTACGAACAGCCACAATCCGCGTCGGCATCCATGGAAATTGCCGATCCTTCCGACGCCCTATCTCCGAGCTCGTCCTATTGATGAGCGGCGAATGATCCTTCTGCATATGCCTCCTCTGCCGTGCTGAATTCTCTGGCGGGGAGTGTGCCGGGATAAATCCCGGCATTAGCATAAGCATTAGTTTTAATATTATTTTAGTCGTACACGGACATGCGCCTTCCGTGTCACTTGGAAATTGGCGGTTGAGAAGCGTCGATGGCTACCCCGTTATTGGGTCAAAAGAATCGATGTAACATGTATGGAAAGCAAAATCAGCACTGTCGCGGCCTCCCTGCCAGAGGCCGCAGATGATCAAATGAAAAACAGACTTCTTGCTTAACATTTTATATCGAGTCCATCTTCGCATGACGTGCTCTGAAAACTATGTGCCGCATCATTGAATCCGGTTAAACTCTCATGAATGATCTTTGATATATTGTCATTTCCTGGTAGTTTTGTCCAATTTATGACGTGCGGTTTTTTTATGAAACTGATTTTCCATCTTACTGCACAATCAACGTGATTGTGCGAATGAATCTTATTGCCAATGAACTGTTTATTAATTGCTATTTTAAATTCCCCTTTGTGTAACTTAACCTGGCAGTTTGTACTGTTTAACCCTGAGTGGAACATATTCATGACAAATATTTTCCTGTTGCCATACCTAGGTAGCAATCAAAATAATTCTAAAGTGCCTTAAACTGCTCAATCGTTGACGACTAACGTTCAGAGGAATTATCATTAAGAATAATATAAGTTATGCCTTCTGATGCCACTCTGTTTTGCAGAGCACGTCAGTATTGCACAGCAGAAATTGAATTACAGCACTACGCCAGTAAGTTTAAAATGTGCGTACTAAACCAATTCTCGTTGTATCTATACAAGGTTGTATACACACTGAATGGGAATTGGTTTGCAACGAATAAGTGTATGAAATTAAAGAACGATTAGATAAAACAAAAGCTCATGTGTCTAGACATCCCAATTGCATTCCTGTACTCCATGAAAGACGGCATAGATCACCGAAAAAATACCTGATGCAATATACACCAGAAAGCAGGTTCGGAATAATAGCATCTAGGATAAATATCAAACTTATGACAATAACAATTAAATTTTGTTATCTTATATATTTTGGAACAAAGTGCAATGTGACCGAAGGGCTACATTCATACTAACTGTCACGTTGGTGGTAGTTTTCCCGCGTGAGCGTCCATTGGTTGCTAGCTGATGTTTCTTTTTACAACACTTCTCTTTAACTTCACTTCTTGTTTGTCTGTCTGCTACAAATCTTGTAATTGAAATTTAATACACTTCTACTTATCCTATTGATCTGAAATTTTGCTCACTTGTGTAAAGTTGGAGACAATGCATGAATCATATGACAAATTAAATAATTTTAAGGATAAAATTTGTTTTCAATATTAAAAAACTGGAAAAAAAAATAATTTTGTCAGCTACAAATCTTATAATTGATGTTTGACACACTTTTACCTGTCAAATTGATCTGAAAATTTTCAACACTTGTGTGAATCAAAGGCAATGCTTGAATCAATTGACAGAATAAATAATTTTGAGAAGAAAATTTGTATATATAAAAAATTGAACAATTAATTTTTTTAATATTCGAAAATAAAATGAGAAATTCATTGTACATCTTTAACATTGGAGACACTGGATTCTTTAGGAGTGTTGTCTTTAAAAAGTAATTTTTAAACGTATATTTTTATTAAAACTTTATACCAAATAAATGAAGGATGGTTGATTCTATTGATGTCTAAAGCGTACGTGGGAAATATATTTACTCTAAGTGGACATCGCGGAGAGTGAGTCAAAACTCACAATATATAAAGCGTGGTAAAGATATTCACTCTCAGTGGACATCGCGGAGGGTGAGTCAAACTCACCATATCTAAAACGTGGTGAAGATATTCACTCTCAGTGGACATCGCGGAGAGTGAGTCAAAACTCACAATATCTAAATCGTAGTAAAGAAGTTCACTCTCATTGGACATCGCGTGTGAGTCACAACTCACCGAACCAACGCTCCCCTCTCACAGCCACGCTCTGTCGCTGCAGGGAGGTCATCTCCCCCTGCGCGCTCCTCCCTCCTCCCCTCAAGGCGAGCATTTTCGTGCAAAGGTCGTTGAGAACGCACGTGTCACATGCGCGCAAATTGTAAAGAAAAGTTTATGTATGAAAATAGGAACAGAATTCAGGGGTCTTATGTCACAAGATACATTAGTTTACAAACGAGATGAAAATTTACTTTTCTTTTCTGACAAGAATGGTAGTAGAAGAAACGAATTCAAGTTACCTGAAATTTACTTAAGATTTAAATTAGAATCAAATTGCTATGGCGATATTGAGCGAAGCCATTCATGAGTTGAAGCGTTCAATCATCGCAGCCTCAAAGGTGCAGCACTGAAACGCTCTGCCACCTCATTCATATTTATAACTCATGTCACTTCCTTGTAGTCGCGCTCGATATATTCAGATAACTATAAGCTGTCATAACTGGCTAAATTTTTCACGAGGGAACTATTAAAGTGTATTGAAGTCTATTGATTCAATACGACGATCAGCATGGAGAAACCAAAATGAAATCCCTCCGGGATACCGAAACAGAAACTACATATATAGGATACCATTATGAAAGGCAACTCCAGGAAATCCCTCCACAATACCCATCCCCCAGAATACCATTGCAGAATTCAACTCTATAGTACCCCCCTCCAGAATTCCCAACTAAAATACTGTCATTTGTACATAATAATATCAATTTGTTATAGGTTTTCAAATCAAAAGTGGCAAGTATACTGTGAATAATCATTTTTCAACAAATATTTTTTACTCGCGTATGGCTGATTCTCATGGAAATAAACGGAGCTTTACAGGCAATTAAACTTTTTCTAGAATAAGATTTTTCGCTAATAAACGATTAATTGTGAGACTTAGCACAAGATTCTAATTTGGAAGTGATGTAAAACTTATTAAATGTAAGCATACTCGGGCCCTAGAAGCCTCGAAGTCCGGAGCCCAGCGGCTTGCCTGGTTCTCCGTTAGACTTGACATGGGAGAATATCAAATATGCGTACTTTGAAATTGCTTATAAATCTATACCAGGCGCTGTAACTACCGCGTAATTGCAGCGCACAGAATGATGTCAAGTTAGTTCTCTTAACGACATATTTCATGCATGACACAATCTGCAAGCACGCGAGGTCTTTGCGAGAAGCATGGTTAAGCGTCGAATTTTTGGTAGCGAGTTGAAGAACATTTCAACCACTTTCTTCGATCGCACAAATAGTTCATGCGTTCTCATGAATACATAAGTTATTCATTGCTGTTAAGAAAGACATGTTACTGTGGCCCGACTGTGTGACCAGAGCTCGAGTGGGGTGGTCGTGTTTCTTGTTGGAGCGCTTTTAATTTCCATCGTCATATAAACCAATCAGGTAAGATTTGCAGTACAGAAATGTACCAAACAAAATATATTAAGATTAGTATTTATGTTAAAGATTTATGCGTTCTAAATTTTTGGAATATGTTCTAAATCATGACATACACGTAAATTTAACGAATTCACTTGTTAACGATTGGTGTATAAAATTATGAGTGCGATCAACGAAGCAGAAGTTGAACTAGAAACTCTAAATATAAAACATCGCTTCTGTAGAGGAATGTAATGAACCAACAAGCACATACGTGTATTTAGTATCGTTAGTTGTTTACGTGCTCCAGAAAATTCTAATTTATAGGATACCATCCGTAACCATAAGAGCTATTTTATGTTTCTGATCAGAATGATTGATTTGTCAAATTAATCATAGGCACGTTATTTTATGATGATTAAGTCGCTTCGGTTGATCTGAGATCGGCCAATACTGAGATCAGCCATGCCTGTGAGATTTTGAACTCTACTTTCCTTTTTCCGGCAGTAATCACATTTCCGTGGCTATTGAAGAACTTCATTTCAGAAATAAAATTTCCGGCTAAAAATTAAATAGAGAGAAAAATTTTGACTCCTCTACTTGGTATAAAGTAATTACAGGACGATTATCTGATTATCGAAAACAATCTGTTTCAAAACTGAGGCACAACCACGAGCTGGGGCATCAGCCACAACGACGATGAGGGCTGCGTTTGGGACGCTTTTGGCCACGGCGTGTCTAGTCACTGTGCGCATTGGTGGCGTTGGAGGCGTCATGCTCGGCTCGGTACTTGCCTACAAAGTGAAACTCCAGGCCTCGGACCTTGCAGGAAACGTGGTCAACACCACGTACCCCAACATGACGCTCGTCAGGTGCGCCGCCGTGGCATCCAGTCAGAAAGATTCCACTTTTTGTTTGACGGCCTCGCGAGACTGCATAGTAACCAACGCCGTCATCCCGCCCTACTACAACAACAGCGACGGCAACGGCTTCCACAGCTGTACACTACC